ATTATCCTGTAATCCAATCCCCACTTTGCTTTTTCCATTTCCATGTAATCTTCCTTAATTACTCCCTTAACTTCAGCTGCAAAACATATTCTCAGAGCTTTTGAGATCTTGTTCCCCTGCATATGTTGTGAGTTTGGTTCATATAAACTCTTACAAAAATCCTCTACAGGTTTGAACGTTTCTTACTTTGACAATAAACAAATTGGGAATGTATATAATGGAATATTATTCAGGGTTACAGCAAAATGACACACTGATATATGCTACAACATGGATGAACCTCAAAAACATGCTAAGTAAAAGCCAGATGTGAAAGGTGACATGTTATATAATTCCCTTTACATGAAATATCAAGAATAGATAAATATAGAAACAGAAAACAGACTCGTGGTTCCGAGGGGCTGGGTGGAAGAGGGCATGGGGAGTAACTGCTTAATGGTTTATGGGCTTTCCTTTTAGGGTGATGGAAATGCTTTGGAAGTAAACAGGAGTGGTGGTTACACAACAACGCAAAGGTACTAAATGCTATTTAATCGCTCTTTAAAAGGATTAATTTTATGTGAATCTCACCTCCATTAAAAAAAGGTATCCATAGACTGAGAAGCTAAACCATTATTAACCTCCAGATTAACTGCCTCTGGGGACAGGGAAATATGAGAGGATAAAATCACCAACAGTGGTTGGTTTGAATGAGGTAACTAACTATTAAAGTTCAAATCAGGGATCATGTTTTGTTACAAAAATGGTCTGACACTTAATCCTTCTGGACCAGATTTGTTGGGGGGGGGGGGGGGGACCTCTAGAATCATCATTTAACTGAGCTGTAGAAAGCAGAACAAAAATCCTCCTAGAATCATCCAGCTAATAACCGCTATCTTACAACATGGTTCTTGCAAGACCTTGTCCTCAGGTTAATGAAGAACTAATTTATATTTTCCTTTGTATTTTCTTTCTCCTCATCCTTTCATTCTATCCCTTTAATCTCTCCCTTCATCCCAGAGACGAATGGATGGGTTTAGAGTCTATAGAACAGAGATAGCTAAACATATCTGCATACTTCTAAATTCCCAATAAAGAAGAAACTAGATCTAATGACAGATTATTTCAGGATTTAAGGGCCATGTCCCTTTACTAAAGGTGGATATAATTGCTTTCACCCCTTTGGGCCTCATTTCCAGCAAATGACCTGACCCTTCCCTCCATTTTTAATCACCGCATACTCCTCACATTTCCATAATCACTGCATTTCTAGAAGAAGCGTTTATCTGCTCTATCTACCCAGCCCACTCAGGCAAGACAAACCTTGAACAAATGCACTCATCTTTCTTTTAAAAAGATTTTATTTATTTACTTTTAGAGAGAGGGAAAGGGTGAGAGGAAACACCAAGGTGCAAGAGATCAATCCTAGCCTCTCGCAGAGCCCCGACTGGGGACCTGGCCCGCAACCCAGGCATGTGCCCTGAGCAGGAATCAAACCACCGACCTTTCAGTTCACAGGCTGGCGCGCAATCCACTGAGCCACACCAGCCAGGGCTCTTTTGTTTATAGGTAGGGAGGAAAGTATCTTTGATTTGAAACAACTCAAGAGTCTTAAACCCCAGAAGCAATGAAAAATATCTTCCTAATGTTCAACCAAAAGCCTTTATGCTACAATGGAAGCCAGTTAACACCAGAAAGGCACTTATGTGCCTTTCCAAGGAGAGGTCTTCCTCCAGTGGTTAAGCAGTTAATGGGAGATTAACTCTTGGCTCTCTGGGGGTTGGCTGAACTGGTTGGAAGTCAGAAGTCAACGGATCACACAGCTTGGAGAAGAGTGGTGCTGGTGAAACCCCCGAGGTCATAGTTTCCTGTGTTTATAGCAGGTTAATGATACAAATGAATTAATTTTCTGGCAGTAAGGTAAGAACATAGAAATAAGGAACCAGGTCTTTGCATGTGCATGTACAAACTCATGTGTGAGTTTGTGTACCCCAACCCTAGAATCCTCAAGTTGTGTGTGTTTGGGGGGCGGTTACCAAGAGGTGAAAAAAGAGGGGACAAGAAGTTGTAAAGAATTATAGTAAACTTTCAGAATTTCAGAATTTTCCAGAATTCAGAGTCTACCAATGAGGAAAGGGAAATCGTTTTAACTTTTTTCTAGACATCCCCAGTAACTTGGGCTCTAATTTATTCCCAGCATATATGAGAGAAAACACCATGGACTGGAGAAGACAGGAGACATGAACTGGATTGCCTAGAAAAACCCCTATCCTTCAACACCAACCCCCCTAAAATATTAGTCTATTCCTAAACCTAAGTCTCCCATCTTTCTCCCTCATTAGCACCAAAAGCCTTAAGTTTCACCTAAACCACATCAACTCCAGACCAGGAAGGGCCATCTAATTTTCTTTAATTCACCAGCGAATACAAAATGTCTTTGGAGAAGTAGGAAAGACAAGGGCGATGAAGCTAGTCATTGGGGATCTTCAAAAGGGGTTGAGAAAGAGTAAGAGAAAAGGAGAAATACATTAGGGACATTGCTATTAGGACCACACTCAGCTGCTAACGCAGTGATTAACACTCCCTGGAGTGATAAATGCTTTACTCAACTATAAACTAAGCAAGCAAACTGGTTGATGAAAAAGTCACTTACCCTGCTAAGCCCTCGGCTTCCTTCCTTCTCTGTTTCTTCCAAGTGAAGTGAATGTTTCATCTCCTCAGATCTAGGTTGTGAGTGACTTGCAGCTGTCTCTTCATATCACCTTTCTTTGCTGAAATGCTGGGTCTCCGTGATTACATGAGCCCTGTCAACCAGACATGCTTAATTCTCCCTAACAAAGAAAGAAGGGATTTGGCCTCCTGCCCATGGACTTCTCTCTTTCTGACCTTCCTTTTCTGCCAAGAAGGCTCAGAACTCCGTCAACACTCCCAAACTTGCCAAAGGCAAGACAGGTTGAAGATGAAGCCTGCTGCTTTCTGGACCTAAGACAGCATTTCTTTTTTATTTTTTCACGTATTGATTTTAGAGAGAGGGAGGAAGGGGAGGGAGATTTGTTGCTCCACCTTTTTATACATTCACTGGTTGATTCTTGTATGTGGTTTGACAAGGGACTGAACCCACAACCTTAGTGTATCGGGACAACACTCTAACCAAATGAACTACCCGGCCAGGGCAAAAGGCAGCATTTCTGCTCTTAGTCCACAGCATCAGGAAAAAACCCTTGGGTTAATTCAGAAGTCAGTACTTGGTTGGAAAGGCCTAAGCACTAGACCAGGGGAACAGGAAACCCTTGGTTTCTGGATGTTAACATACACCCAAAATGAGACCTCTCAAGCCCAAAACTGCTCAAATACAACCAGCAATGACCACTCAAGGCTTAAGTACAAGTATAATGCCCAAGAGAGAATAGAAATGGTCATTTGATGGTACAAAAGGAAATCAATTGTAGGAGAAACATCCAGAACTAATCTATAAAATTCACTTTCCCTGAAAAGAGAGCAAGGCATTTTCTGAGTGAATGTCCTCTGGGGCACTCGCCCCATTTATTTCAAAAAGGAATATAGTAGCCCCCTTACCCACTGGGTATATGTTCCAAGGCACCCCAGCAGATGCCTGAAACCACAGATAGGATGGAAAATCATATATGCTATGTTTTTTCCCCCTATACATACAGCCTTATAACAGTTTAATTTATAAATTAGGTACAGTAAGAGATCTATAGCAATAATAAAATAGATAACCATATACTATAAGTTAAGTGAATGTAGAATTATTAAGTAAAATAGGGGTTACTTGAACAAGTACTGCAATACCTTAATAGTTCATCTGATAACCAAAAAGAGAAGGTTACTAAGACTAATGGGGGTGTATACAGTGCAGATAACGCTGGACAAAGGGATGAGTCACGACCTGGGCAGGATGGAGCGGAACAGCAGTTTTCATCATGCCACTCGAACTGTATGCAATCTAAAACTCATGAATTGTTTATTCCTGGAATTTTCCATTTAAAATTTTTGTTTCACAGTTCACTGAAACCATGGAAAATGAGACCATAGAAAAGGGGGGACTACTATAACTATTTCTGGAGTATTAAAGAAAGACCTGCCCGGGCCAGGTGGCTAAGTTGGAATGTCATCCTGTCCACCAAAAGGCTGTGGGGTTTGATCCCCAGGCAGGGTGAATATAGGAGGCAACTGACTGATGTTTCTCTCTCCTCCCTTCCTCTCTCTAAAATCAGTAAAATGTATCTTTGGGTGAGGATTTAAAAAAATATTAAAATAGGTAAGAACAAAATATTAATGACAAAAAATGCATACTTTTTGTAGGAACAGAAAATAAGAATCAACTCAAACATCATCACATTACTTTCTGTAGTAAATGCTGATCCAGGGAATTTAATTCCACATTCCTAGCTCATTTTCCCTTAGAGCTGTAAAACTCCAGAACCTTGTGAGCAGCAGTCCTATATGATGGCAAGATCTGGTTTTTCTGCTTACACTTGGCCCCAGCTATGTCACTTACCGGCCTCTGTGAACATCAAACTGAGGAACATACCACTTGCCATAAGGACCTGGAATGTGGCAAATCAAATCTACATGTGAACAGATGCAAAGAATGGATTCCAAAAGAACCCTAAACTGTAGTGAGCACAAACTACAAACAAGGAAGGTGGAAGAAAAAAGTTAAGGATGCAACAAAATATTATGTATGTAGAACAGCTGTGGGAAAAGGAGAATCAACTGCAATAGGCAAAAATCCTGAACAAAATAGGAGTGATTCATTTTCAGCAAAGGTTTCAGGCCAATTTCATACATAACTGGAAGAACATTTAAAATTTCAGTTCTGTTAATAATGCCTGAACTGCAGAAGGTACAAGAAGTCAGAGACTGTCTTTTTAACTCAGAAGTGTCATGAACGAATATAAAGGGAGATGATATATAGAAAAAATTGGTATCGAATACTAATTTACATTTTACTATCACTACTATTTGCTCTGGTAGAGATAATTTTCATTCATCACTTCTGTGGTTTGTTGTGAAACTAGTTATGAAGAAAGACTAGAAGAGGTTCCTATTCAAACAGGTAGGAAGTGGTCTATGAGGCACAGGATATTCTCCCACTCTCCATGTATACCATTTTTCTGTGTTCTGTTCCTTTCCCTTACTTTCTCCTTTTTAATTTTTATCATGAATATGTAATTCTTCTTAGTTTGCTAATTATGTTTTATATTTTATTTACCCATTATTCCCACAAACACTATATATAACCCTAGTGATAGACCTAAGCTCCTAATTTAGAGATGCATAGTTCTCATAAAACAGTAATATTAAGAAAAATCTTAAGTATGCAGTGTGAATAACTTTAGAGATTTTATTTATTTATTTTTAGACAGAGGGGAAGGGAAGGAGAAAGAGAGGGAGGGAAACATCAACGTTGGAGAGAAACATAAATCAGTTGCCACTTGCACATGCCCAACTGGCCTGCAACCCAGGCATTTGTGACCTTTCAGTTTGCGGGACAACACTCAACTCACTGAGCCACGCTAGTCAGGGCAGTGTGAATAACTTTAAAGGCAGCTCATGGACTGGTATGCAAGTTAATATCACAGCACGTAGAAGTTGTAGTAGTCAACAATTTGAGTTCTGTTTGCTACCTGGAATTAGGCGGGCATATACATTTTGATTTAAATGAATGCTTTATAAAATGTATCATTATAATTATTGTTGAAACTGTGATTAAAGCTGTTATATTATACTATTATAAAATGTTGAGCAATATCCTAATTTCCCTCCATTTTCAAAATTCTATACTAACTTTGATTATGGCAAAGAAGGAATATGATGGCAGGAAAATGCAGTATCACTAATATCTTTTTTCTTACTGTTAAAACACCCAATAAATTTCCAACATTACTATAACAAAATTCTAGGCAATAAGATTTTCTTTCAATTAAAAGTGAAATAGTGATTTTAAATATTAGGTTTAGAAGGCCTATCTATTAATAGGCACCCAGTCCTCTAGTGCTCAGTTACTATTGCTCATGTAAAACAAGTGTAACTAAAGTTTTTTTAAAAAGCAAAATTTATCAAGATAAGAATTCAATTCATCAAATTACCGTGAACTATGCATGAGAAGGTCAAATAAGACTACATCCAAATAAAACCCAACACAGAGATAGGAGCAGCGGCCCATGCATGGAATTTATTGTGTGCTACTGTTTATAAAATACTCAAATAGTCCTGCACATGCATAATATTTCCAACTTAGACAGGAGACCATACAGGGTGCACTTTCTGGCAAACAAAACAATAGATGGTTCCGCTGCCTGGAGCTCTGAGTTGTATTCCAGGGCATGAGGGAAGCAGGCCACCAAAGTAAAGGGAAATACCAAACTACAGTGGCAATCAATACAGGTCAATAATTGTGAAATATTATCACATGGTTCCATTTAATTTAACCAAGCAGTTCGGTGACTATCAAAAGAAAATGTTCAACATGCAGACTTGACTTTTATGCCTCCACTAACAACTGAATGATTGAATAGAACCATTGTTGCTTCTATGCTGCATTGCCTAATCAAAAACACTTCCAGAACATTTTAAAATTTCCTTTGCATCAAAACATAAAAATAATAGAAAGCCAGCAGCAAATCACCCTGGTGGCTATTTAAGCAACTTGAGTACTCACAATAAACTAAAATTTCTTGTAACATCTAGGTAACCTATACATGTTGTACCTGTACATCATAGGTCTATATATTAAATATTTGCAAAATGAAAACATGCATACACAAAATACGTCAAGTTTTACAGACATGATTTGAATTAAAATTTACTTTGACAATGTACAAACTTCTTTTAAAGTATCTTAAATGAGTAATTCTGTAATTCTTCATAAATTTTAAAGTTAGAGGTTTTCTTCTTAAATCTCTGATGTGTAAATCTCAAAACATCTGGGCAAAAAGGTTCTAAATTAGTTTTTGAATTTGTGTTCAAGTAAGAGAGTCTGCCTAGAAATAGGTTATGCATTCATAATTAAAAAATATCAAGACTATATTACAGAATTAGCCACATTTAAGAACTATAGACCTGAGGTCAGCATTATGTATAAACGCCAACTGGGTTTCTCAGCATTTTGTCCATAATTCAAAATACAGTTTAGTAACCTCAGAAATGTATTTTAAGACCATGCTAACTCACGCTTTAAAGACATTTCATGGGGAATAAAAAGTCCACGTTAGCTCTTAGGATTGCATTTGAAGTCATGGTTGAAAACGAAAATCTAATTCTACTGAAGGAAAAAGAAATCTCAATTGTAAACTTAAATGTGTGAACCACAAGCATATATGGAGGTGCAGTGGCCCTCCACTGGAAATTGCCCCAGGCCCCTTGCTTACTGCTCTCCACCTTGGCAGCGATGACCCAGTCTTATCATATAGCACAACATATCCCAAGGCCCACAAGCCTCCATCCAGGAAGGGGGCTGGTGTCTCAAAAGCACAATGGTTTCTCCAGAGGGACTGTGACATTTATAGTCAGCTTGGCTGACCCCTCCAGTTCCTCGGGTAATCTGTCCATTTGGGGCCCGAGATGTGAGAGTCCCTGGGAAGCCGTGGGTCACTGGGCACTATGGTTGCCAGTCCCGTGGTTCTCAGTGGCATGTGCGGTGTTCAGAGAATTGAAACCATCTGGCTGTACAGCATCTTTCCGGGGTGGCATTCTCTCATTGATTCTATCCAAACCCTTTGCCTCTTCAAAACTGCAGATTCTATGTGGTGGAGAGAATCCTCGTATTGCTTAACAAAATGCAAATTTGATAAGTCAGTAATTGAAAAACATTTCTGAGATTTCAAAAACACAATTAATGATTTTTAAGAAGACATTACTTGTATGTAGCAACATTTAAATTTTACTTTACTGAATTCTATCCCCATGCCAGACTTTCCCTTAAAATGTGAAATGTTTAAATCTAAATATAAACATGACAGCATCACAGATGACAATGTTAGTGTGTAGCCTTTTAAAAACACACAAAAGTAACTCTCCCTTATCCCCAAAATCAACCTCCAAGCAATGGTCTCAGGGTTTCAATCTGACTTCTAATGCACCAACTCTCTCCTACCTCAGACCCCAAAATCACCAGTGACTACTGCAGTTAAGGCAGCATCAGGAAAAGGGGCAAGTGAAGAGGCTAAACAAGGTTAATCCTTGACATACAAATCTGTACCAAGAGCTTGGGAGGAGAAAGAGGTAAAGTTAAAATTGAGCAGATCAGAACTACCTTGGAGGTCAAGGTAACATCACTCCATCACCACCACTATGAAAAGAAAAAGGTGGGAAGTGCCTCCAGGAGTTAGATCTGTGTTTGGCTGATAGCAAAAAAGTACTTATAGTTTCTTTCATATTTTAGGTGGTATCATATTTAATTCACTGGCCAGTCACTGAATATTCTTGGGAATTCCAAATCAAAATAAAAAGCAATTTCCAGTCGTTACGGTTTTTCATTTACTTCATCTGGAATGACGTATTGTACCTTATTAAAATGTGCATGGAAAAGAATTCCATACTACTGGTTATAATTTGGTTGCTTTAATATGTGCAATCCCTGGGACTCAAGAGTCTGTGCATTTGAACCAAATAAACTGTTGGGCAGCAAAGCATTTAGCAATGTGTAATACTAAGCCAATACATAATATACATGAATATAATATCATCAACAAATACTAGCCCAAACTGGAGCAAAAAAAAAACCCCAAAAAACCAAATCCAAAAAACAACAACAAAAAAACAAACTCATGGTTACAGCTTCTGTACCCAGGTGAATTACTGAAAATGAGTAAAAACAGACTCAAACCTATGTTTAGAGTGGGTTTAACTTAGGAAAAAATAATCTGAGTAGCACAGAATCATGCAAAATATGGGAGAGATCTTTATATGCAACTTTATATGCTATGATATTATAGCATAACATAATGTATTCTAAAGAATTCAGGAAAATTAAATGCTAGTTTCATACTATACTAAAAAAGGGGAAAAAGCAGACTGTCACTCTGGACATCAGTACTTGTGATTAAAAGAGAGAAACAGAGAAAGGGAGAGAGACAGAAAGAGAGAGAGAAGGAGAGAGAGATGTAAAAAATTTGATGAGCCAGTGAGTCTGATTCATCTTGGGCTGTGAAAGCTAAGAGTAAGACACACCCACAAGACATTCTCTGATGCCCACCCACACACCACAGATGTCTGCCCAGCGCAAGGACTCTGATCGTACCTTTTTCAGCCTCAATAGCCTCAACTGTGGCTGTACAGAAGTGAGCAGAGGCATGCAAAATGAATGAGAGAGATGAGAAGGGTCATATTGTACAGCAGAAAAGGCAATGATCACTTAAAATATCACAGTATCCCCTACTACATCATCATTTACAATTTACCGTAATAGTACCCATATTAAAGTGCCCCATCCAATCCCCAATTTCTGACACAGCACAGTTTAGACACAGCACTATGACAACATCGCTCAGAGCACAGAACACACAGACCTACTATAAACAGACACCCCAGCACCCATGCAAATGCACTCCAATATTAATTACCCATCTTGAATTCAGCATTCTCATGGCCTCAGAATTTCCCAACATGTTTATCATACCATATCCATCATAATTACAAGGAAATTTTCTACAGTGAAATTATGATGGTAGAGTAGTAGCTAACAGATAAGCAAACAGGAGATTCTATACTTTCATGTCTAACTAAAATAGTACTCATCACCAGTTGGTTCCCCAAGATATAAATTAGAAGTCAGCAATATTTTTCTTATTGCTTCTGATTCACAGGGCAAAGCATAAGCTGTAAAAGTTGGTATGCTACAATGAAATTTAAGGGTAATAACTTAGTGAGTTACTTTAAGTAGAACAGTTCTGTTCTTTGTGGGTAACCTAAAAGGACCCCTAGGACCCTCCTGTCTATTAGGAACTTCCTTTCCATTCTAACACTGATGTCCCAAATATCTAAAGATATTAACATCTACAGTCTTAAAAAATCCATTTATGTCCATTCATGAGTTTATCATGAACTCAAATCTGCCTAGGTACTAACAACCTGCATTATCAAGTAAAGACAGAAAAGAGGCTTCTGAGCATCTTTTCAAACCAATCTATCAACTAGAGAGGAGTCAAGAGACAGAACTGAGGTCTTACAGGCAATAAGTCCTACTTATTTCATGATATGGGCATATACATAGGTCATATAAATAAAAAATGCATCCTTGGTAAAGCTTGTCTCTGCCCATTTAGAGAATTTCAAAATATTTACTCATATATTTTACAGTCAACGATTTCTTTGGCCCATTTCTGGGTTCAAATTGTATAAAGCACTCACATCAAAAACCAGGACCAAAGACTGCAGAGAACAATAATACTGCCTACCAATTCTATCAATTCTCCACTTTACATAAGGTGAACACACTTAGCATATTTAGAACAGTAAGTCCCCATTCCTTCTATTTTGCTTCTTCCACAAGAAGGCCAATTTAGAATTATTATTCCTGAAACAACCTTGTAGATACACATGATTTAGAAATAAATCTTATCTAAAACAGTTATTAATGTGAAAGGACACTGATAAATCTAAGGAATGAAAGTAGACTAAATTAGAAAACCTTGTTATCTCAACCAGAGAGTAAAATGAATTGGGGACCCAAAAGAAGTAGGATGAACACTGAATAGGCAAAAAATTAATTCTCCTTAACTGTTAAATATTATAAATAAAAGCAGACATACTCATTGTATACCACTGTACAAATCTCACCACTTATAAAACCCAGTCCCGCATATTTGGAAACTACTCTTGGAATTTGCCCAGACACAAAACCAGGATAAAATACCCATCTCTACTTGACTAGACCTGTTCTTCAAAATGTGGCTATTTTCTTTATAATTTAGAAATTGAATGTGGAAAAAAGATAAAATGCCAATCAGAATATTTCTAGAGTCTGTGGTAACAGGAATGATTTTATATGAAAAATTTTAAAACTTATATATGGAAACTAATTAAAGATAAAAGCTTATCACTATAAGTAGTGTCTATTTGATTGTATTAATAGTTTAAGTCTTTTAATACATTTTTAAAATTATGAAATGTAACAATATGCTTTTGAAATCATTCTGTGGGCTTTTAATTTGATATGTAAAAGCATTTTCTAGGTCAAATGATATTCTCTGTCCTTTCTTGAGGCCTCTAAATCCTTTGCAGAATACAAAACAGCTATCGTACTCAAAACTGCATTCCATGTCAAACTTGCCTGCTTAGAATTAAAAGGTCATTTGAAACTTAAACAATAAGGTGGAAAGAAAAAGATCTGATAATTGCAAAATTCTATCTAAAAGGCACTATTTTTCCTCTATTTGTTTTCAGTTTTACAGGACATCTTGACATGGCCTTAATAAGCTTGAGTATAGTGCTGTCTCAAATTGTGTTTCACAAAATTACGCAAGATAAATGATCAAGAGGTATTTGACATCACTAAATACTAGATGGCCATATATTTTCCGATATATGTCTTGGTGAACGTAGCAATATAGGGCTAGCTCCCAATTACATTTCCATGAAGAAAATGCACGTTAAATATGAGTATCAAATCCTACTCCAACAGAATTGTGCAGCTTGTAAAAAAACACTTGAGAAATATCATAATTGAAAGTTATTGCAAAGACAATTTTTATTTTCTGACAATAGAACTGGTGTCTTAGAATTTAAAAATGTTTTTTGCAATACTTAATTCTCAGTTAGTCACATCAGGAAATATATCTACTGAAATTTAAAACACTAGGTAAACTTTTACAAAACACAAAATTGCAGCTTTTGTATGAGTTTATTTGTTCCAAAATAAGTTTATCTTATGCTAGGGAAATCATTTCAAGCACATGGTCAAATCACACTATCAAGAGCCATCAACTGGCAGAAGTAGGGAGCTAACTAGTTTCCCAAATTGAACCCCTTAAGCTTACACCATCCGGTAACTCACTCTATGCTGGTAATAAACAGTCCCTTCAGTACAATTTTCTTTCAAACCTTCCCTGCAGTTGGGGTGATTTCAAAGTTGAAGACTGAGCTTCAGACTGAGCTGCATGCAAATTAAAAATAAATAGAAGTGCTGAGCTGCCAAAAAAGTATGTAATTAGGAGGTGCTAACTGTGAAATCAAAAGAAAGGTTTATTGTGGAAACAACGTAAAAGTAATAATATATACAAGGATAATTGAGACCACAGTAGATTTTATTTAAGTATGAGACCCTTTCAGTTTCTTTTTTCTTTTCTGACAAAGAGGAGGAAGGGTATAACATTTTTCCAGCTATTAAAACTCATCCTTTTTCTATTAACATTGTTGGAAGTTTTAGTGATTTTGAAGATCTTAATCTGTTTTAATCAAATTCTTTTTAGATCACTTTTTAAATGTTTACACTATAATAATAAAAATGGAGGGTAAGAAATGTAAATAACATAAAAGCAGATTTTTTAAAAAATAAAAAAAGAAAACCTTATTCAGAATAAAAATTCAAAACATAGTTGTATTTCTCACGTATACCAGTGGTGGTATCAGACAATACAGTAACATATAAAATAGAACATGAATAGGCTACAAGTTGAAATTACTTGTCTACAGGAAAAATTCTTTTTATTTATTTAGCATTTACTATGAGGCTGAGTGAAACGTAATTGTGAAAAGCCAATCTAATTTAAATTTATTCAAAAGTTTTAATTTTTTTATATATATATATTTTTGCTATAAACATTTACTAGTTACAACACCAAAAAGAAACTGTTAATCATGACTAAGGAAAATAACATCTCTGTTGATGCCTGTTTTAATAGAGCAATGACCTTTGCAGGGCTGTCAAAAGTAGCTACGATAAAATAAATTAAACTTTCCATATCACATTTTTTGCTTTCTAACCACAAGGGAAAGAAATCTGGGCTTTGAATTACTGTGCATAGTCTGTAACATTCACAACACTTTCTTCTATTTAATTTGTAATGGGCTTCCAAAAAGTTAACACAGTATTTACACATATATTTACGCCAAAAAAGTTAGTTTTTTTAAATATAAAATATTCAATGAGCCAGATTACAGGAATGCTTTATGTATAATTCTTTTTATTTTCATGCAAAATAACGGCACACTTAATAACACCCTTTCCACTTTGACTTACAGGATTTAAATTCAACCCCTTTTAACAATGACTTAATAACTAATGTTACATTCATGTTTGGAATGCACAAAATGCAGCAACAAATGCAGCAAACCTCAAAACAAGGTGCTACAAAGTTGCTTCTACATCAAAAGACAGACAAATGTCTGATAGAGTAAATTAATTTAACATACTTTTACAGACATACAGCTAGCCTAAAGAAAGACAGACAGATTTAGGAAAGCAGCTACATCTGCAGAGGAAGGAAACAGCATGTTACAGACAGTCAATTATACATACAACATTTGACAAACACCACAAAAAACAAACTTCAGCATTATTTACCAGGGTACAAAACCTTGCACAAATCTTTTGGCAAGTAAGTGCATAAGTAATGTTCTGGGGCCCAAGCAGACTGTTAATTCTAAAATTAAGTATCTGATAATAAAAGCATAGTCTAATACAATTACATAAACTTAAAAAATAAAAAAAGAAACTTGAAAATACATTTCCATTTTAGTAATACGATATAGTATATCCTGGATTCACATTCTGAAACTGGGGCTTTTAAAAGGAAAGGGTGCATTAGACAAATGAGTAAATAAATATTTCAGACGTTATGATATGAGCTGCTCTCATATCATTTCATAAAAAGCTGAGACTGACCATTATTTTCAATGGAAACAAATACCCATTCTATCAATTTTCTGCCCTGGTCAGGTTATTAATCAGACACTACCTATCGTATGGTATATTCTGCCTGCATCAGCTGCTGAGACAGGAACTAAAAAGCAGAAGAAATTCCCTGCATGCATTGTGTGTATTGTTAGCAAAAGAGTGAGGTGTGCCCCAGTCCATCTGAGGTACAGCAAGTTGCATAACATCATTACCACTTTGCAGGGTCTGCCGTCCTCCAGCCAACACTCCACTAGGCAACATCCCTGTGGGAGTCAGGCCCTTGAGTGTCAGCACACTTTCACTTTCCTCCCTACAGCAGAAAAATATAACAAACATCAGAGATTTCCAACAAGTACTTACTTTAAAAGAGGAGATGGACCCAGATGTAGGTAGGCCATGCATATAGCTTATGATATGCATTGCTATTACCATATTTTCCTCAATTCCAAGATACACATCTTTTTATATTTTAAATGTTTCAGACAATGAGGTTGTACCTTACAACTGAGGCATATACTGTTTTTCCTGAAAAGCTTTATTAAATAAATATATGGTAAAATTTATCACCAGTGGGCACTATACAATTGAGAAAATACAGTATTTCATATCCTTTAAAAATCGAATGTCTGATGTAATCACTTTTGAAAACAAATTTTGAGGTACTAATCCATTCATGTGTACCCTTAAACCTGGTCTTCCTGAATGAACCCCAGGAAGGCAATTTGTGGCTCTAGCAAAAGGGACTTCTTAGATAGATGAGCAAGTTCACCTGGAATACTCTAGAAAGTGCCCTCTTGCCCTGGCCAGCGTGGCTCAGTTGGTTGGAGTGACATCATCCCGTAAACTGAAAAGGACACTGCTTTGATTCCTGATCAGGGCACGTACTTAGTTCGCAAGTTCGGTCCCTGGTTGGGACATTTATGAGAGGCAATTGATGTTTCTCTCTCCCCTCTCCCTTCCCCCGCTTTTAAAATCAATAAGCATGAACTCAGGTGAGGATTTTTTAAAAAGTTAAAAAAAAAAAAATCTTAAAAAGTCCCCTCTTCCTTCTTATCCTGCTCTAATTTTTAATGTGTAGACATAGTATTTTCATCACAGAAGGGCCAGAGATACCAAAAGTGAACAATAATAATCAGGACAGTCAAAAACTAGTTTCAAAGGGACTTGTGTTCTTCTCTTCAATGTATAAATGTAGAACTTCTGTATAAGGAGAATGTTACTATATTGCTCTTAGAAGTCAAACGGGACACTGCTTGTTAAGAAAGTACAACCAAAGTAATTTCTATGAAACAAGTAATTAAAAAAATATATCATTACCTGAGAACAGAGAAGACCCTTGCCATCTTGCCAATTGCTCGAATTTTGTTTCTTATGATTTCTTTCCGGGCTGCAGCTGAACCTACTTTCAATGGAATAAATAAAGACTCAAGTTTAGGGCATTCACACTTGCACCATGCTATTAGCCTGTTCCACACTAATCCGAACCAACACCAAGCCCCCTGCCACCAGCTCATATGGAGGAGACTAGATGAACTCGTGCCTAAAAACTTTTCATTCCTTCAATGTTTAGCTCAACATTGGTCTAATACTGGGATCTGATACGGATGCAAGTGAAAAATAATCAATAATCCACAAACTTTACAACTCTCACACTACTGACTACTCAGTAAAACTGCAATGGGAAAGAAACTATTGCCCAATCTGTATCACAAGCCAAAGGACTAAAAAAATAACAACCCTACAATCTTTGTTTAATTCTCATGACAGCCAATGGCATGCAGACTAATATACAAAAACTGCTAATACCTACAGTCTTCTTTTTTACTGTAAAAGCCTTGGACATGCAGGCCGGAAATACCCCATCATACTATGATAAAATGAGTTTCCTTGCTCTCTAAAAACAATGGTATGAAGCGGCTACTATGCAGGTGACCCAGAACTAAGGTCCATACCAGCATTTCAACAACAATGCAAATCTCAACCTCATGAACTAGGTATCTTCTAAGATCATGCAAATGTATACAAGCTCGTACATCCCTACATGAGGATGGTACAAGGAGAGTGAGCAATGAGAAAAGAATCCCTAAAAAACATGGCTAAAGGATCACTAATGTTTCATTCCTTTTTTTTCTTTTTTTTGTGAGATTTTTTTTAATGAGAGTTTATTTGAGCCAAAACTGAGGACAACTGCTGGGGTATAAGATCTCAAGTGCTCTTTAATGCTTCATTTCTAAAGGGTTAGCTGTGTTGCCTATCACTGATACAGCAGAGAATATACCAACATCACTGGATCTTTAGCTGATGAAACACTCAAAGGCTGTATCTTCTTTCCTTGGCCTCCAGAAAGAACAACAACAATCTCAATCCTGTCATCTCATATATAGCAACTAGAATCACTCTGGACCCAGGAGTGTGGTACCTTTGAACTGTGCTTCAGTATGATGAAAACACATATATGGAAGCACCAATGGCTGAGGAGAAGGTTAAGGAAAGGCTAAAGACACTAGACCAAAGGGGACCTTGGATGTACAGAGGTCTGAATGACCACAGTGTTCTGGGCTAGAGCATCTCATTTAAGATTCAAGCATTCTACAAGTATATATAATTAAAAACAAAGATGATGACTAGACCTTACTGAAAGGAAACAGAAACCCAATTTCAAAGATGAAAGCAAAAGACATATTTTAGAGAAAATAGGCTCCACGACCATGGTTATGGTGCTATAAAGGGTAATATTATGAGCACTGAAGCTACAGCTTTTAGAAGTCCAAAACTGTGTTGGTATTTTCAAGATTCAAAAAATAAACAAACAAATAAATATTATAAGTCTCAGAATCATAGAATATTAGAAATTGAAGAGACATTAAAGGTACTGCAAATTTCAATCTCTTCATTTTATAGACAAGTAAAATAAGTGTACTAAGTATTTTGTCCAAGGATATAAAATAAGTCTGATTCTACTCAAATAAACTGATGCAGACATTTTGCTTTAAAATTGAGAAAATAAAAAATCTAGGAGAAGAATACAGGGATGGAGGAAGATAGGTGTAATGAAGTACATTCATATTTTCAGTCTTAATTTATATATCTGTAAAACTGAACGCTAAGTAAACTATACTGATTTCAAATTTAAAAATTCACTGGAATATAAAAACATTGTACAAATCAGAATTTTAAATCAGTCTACAAACACATCATGCATAATATTAAAGTAAATGTCCACAGTAAAATTACTTTGGGGAATAGACAGACAATCAAACACCCCTAATCATGCAGGGAAAAGTACAAAAACATTACAAATAAGCAAAAGAATGAAATTTAAAAACAAGAGGAATGAAAAAGAGGGAAAAATATTTCCATGCACAGAAAGACAGATATCTTGGAATATGACTTCTAAAAACATCAAATTCTAACTTAGATAAACTAAATTTGCACAATGCCCAAGAGGACTCTGCATAAATAGTACTCTATGAATGTGCTAACTTACATGGACATGAGGATTAAATTATGAAGTCATATTTCAAAACAATGTAACTCTGTCTGGTCTGTACCTTTTTTATTGCCATATATGAGCCGTTCTTCAGATGGAGAGTCCAGAAAAAAGGAAGTGAATGATGGAGAAAAGGTGGTTGAGACAAATAAAAAGATAGAGATTTAACTTGGCAGTGGTACTAAAGAATGAATGTAGAAAGAGAGAAAAATGAAGGCCCTCATATTTGAAATTTGAAAAATGTGGTACTGTAGGATGTGGTGAATAAAAGAGGTATGCCACTGTGCAGAGCTCTAAAGGAAAGATTTCTTAAAAGATATGTGTTCAGAAGAAATTATGGACAGAATGACTATAATATTTGATGAAAATAGACAAATTAGGGACAAAAATACACGTGAAAACATGTAAGACTGATAAACTACTAACAATCGCACATTTATATTGATACCCCTAAAGAAATGGATCACCTGTGGAAGCATGTTAAGTGAAAAGGTAATGACACAAATATGATACAAACTTATGTGGTTCTTCAAGGACACCAACATCTGCAAAATCTGTAGTATATATAGAGAAATGTAGGTAACTTTGTAAACTACCTCAGTGGAAAACCTCACCCACTCCCAATAAAGGAAAGACTAAGCCTCCCCCACTCCGTAACAATGAGAGCACACAATTTCTTGAATCTGAATTGCAGAATTTCAGCACATACTCAAGATCAATAGTATGTGCTTTCTGTTCCTAATAGAATCGGGGAGTTTGAGGGACATCTTTTTGCAGAAATAGTAACAGATCATTTCTAAGCAAGTAATAGCTCTTAAAAGTAGGCAGCAGAAATGTTTCATTTGGGCTTTCTACATCTTCCATTCTAGTGCTGAGTGAGCTACATGATTCCATTATAAGAAATGCAAAGTTTTAGTTTAGTAAAACTATAGCAAATACAGGCTATGCATTTCCGTTACCAAACTGAAGATAAAAGATAAATATCTGAAATAAATAGTATGCATTCTAAATATCTAGATATCTAGATATTTAGTATGCATTCTAAACATCACAAAAATCAGTGATCAAAAATTCTCTTGATTAATACCTCTGAAAGGAATACTATGTGCATTTATATGTGCAATGTTTATGCAAATATTTGCTTTTAAAAATAACCCCATACATGCATTAAACAATACAGAAAACCAAAGATCATCATTTAAGAAGGCAGAGAATCTTATTCCTTTACCTAGTTTAAAACACAAATATGCAAAAATTACTCTTTCCTTCCTGCCATTGGGAAATCACCAATCTTGCTCTCTCCCCTTCCTCACAGAAAAGCTAAACCCTTATTCTGCCTCCAGAGCAATTTCCCGCCCACCCCCCCATCCCCAATCAAGTTTTCTTTCTAAGTCAGATTTCTCCCCAGGCCCAGTCCATAGGATGGTTCCAATGCGGAGTAGAAAGAGGAGGAGGGGACAGAAAGCATGCTATCACAGTGAAAGGAAAGAAGAAAAGATGGACAGAGTTATGGGGAAGAAATGAGGAAATATGAATAAGGCAGAGAAATAAACGTAGTTCCAGTAGCTCTTTTCCCTACCCCAACCCAGTATCTATCCTAATATTCTCCTCTTTTCCTCAATTCCTCAATGTTCTGCCTCCCCTAAACCACTCTCATTCCTCCATGCAAACTCTCAAACTCATATTCTTAAAATCTTCTTGGAGTCCTTTTGCCCCTAATACATGATAGTACAAGGGTGAAGAAATGAGGAACTCAGTATATTTTCCCATAGAAATACTGTCATAAATAGTGCTACCAATTTTTAAATTAAGAGAAAGAATTTTCATCCTTTCTATTCCCTCACTCCGTAGATAAGATCCTGAGAAGTTAGGTAATTTTTCCAAGATTACACAGCTAGTATAGTGGTAGTGCCAAAACACCTGACCCATTGACCCATTCCACTAAACTAAATACATAGCCTCTTTAATAATCAAATGTAATTCATCCCTGGAGTGTGATGATGATATAATAAGTGGATAAATAAGCATAATTTATCATTGATAGGAAAAATATTGATGACACATTAAAAATCTCATTGTAAGAACTATAATATTTTATATTTATTCCTAGTTGAATCCCCCAAAATGATTCAGTGTCTATATGTATATAAATCATAGGTATCTAAACCACATACTATACTGGACTTAACAAGAAAACTTTTTTCCTATTCATTATAGGAAGAAGACTAAAGTATTGCCTATCATCACTCTACTTAACATACTATTAGCAATATTAATACATTTTTAAAAGAATAAAAAGAAATAAAAAGTAAAAATATAGAAAATAAATAATATTAGCCCTATGCAATGACTTAAAGTTTAGAAAAACAAAATAAAAATTACCATAGGAAATAATTTTTCTGATCCAAGTTGTTAAGCATAAGATAAAGCCACAAATATGTAATTACTTTATACAGGTAGAAAATACACTGAGAGATACCCGGTATAATATGTATAATAATATAATACCCGTTATATTATAAGGGAGAGAAGGGTGTAAGGGGACTAAACAGAAATGGAAAAAAATATAATACAGATTTAATCTTTTTCTCATTTTTTAAAAATATTTTTTAAATTTATTTTTAAAGAGAAGGGAAGGGAGGGAGGAAGAGAGGGAGACAAGCATCGATTGGTTGCCTCTCTCATACAGGTCCTGACAGGGGATCAAACCTGCAACCCAAGCCTGTGCCCTGACTAGGAATCAAAATGGTAAACTTTTTCCTTGTGGGATGATGCCCAACCAACTGAGCCATACCGGTCAGGGCAGTAACAGATTTTTTCAAAGAAAAACTGTAATTTTAAATGCAATAATTGTATTATTCCATTAGATGGAATATATTAAATGGAGTAATTATAGTAAATGAACTAATTATATAGAGAAAGAGATCTACACCTTAGTTTTGAAAACTAAATATATTTTTAAAGACATCTTAAGTTTAGCCTTGTCTGGTGTGGCTCAGCTGGTTAGGCATCATCCTGCAAAGCTAAAGGTCGCTGGTTCAATTCCCAGTTAGGGCACATGCCTGGGTTGTGTGTTCAGTCCCTGGTTGGGCGTGTGCAATAAGCAACTGATTAATGTTTCTCTCTTTGTCTCCCTCCCACTCTCTCTAAAAATAAATGAAGAAAATCTTTAAAAAAAAACTTCCTGGATTTAGATATATATTTCATGTAATACCAATTAAAACTCCTGCTAGATATTGCACATAATTTGACAAATTAACAAAAATTTAACCGAAAATATCAATGGGCTTATGTACCAAAAATTACTTCAGTCATTATATCAATACCTAAAACATTATGAGGTAGGTACTATTATCTTCATTTTGAAGATAAGAAAACTGAGGTTCAGAAAGGTTAAGAAACTTGCCTGAGGCCACCCAGCCATTATCAGAAGCTAGAATCTGAACCCAGATCTAGTCTTTACAGAGGTGGTAGCAGAACAAGGAAAAGAAATACTTCATTAAAACTATTTAAAAATTGTATGGAAAAGACAAATCTGATGAAACATGTTAGAATTAAAAACTTCTACACAAACATGAAAGAGAGAATTAAAAAAACGAAAAAGAAATAATACCCAGTAAAGTTTATTACCCAAACCAAGAGGGGAAAAAAAAAAACACCAAAAAACCCTGATATATATAATTTATTTCAGTTAACAAGCCAGAGTAAAAAAAGCACATCTCTGCCTGCCACCAACAGATGGCAATAGCAGACACTTGCACTGTCACTTTGTACTTTCAACAAATGGGCTTATGACAGGGTTTAAGAATAGAACCTGTTTGTAAGTAGAGAAATATCAGAACAGTTTTCACTCAGATTTTTCTTGGTAAGTAGTCAAATGAAATGGGCAGTTTACACAGTTGAAAAGTAGACAGTAATTTTTTTTCCCTTAACATCAAGGAAATGTAAATTAAACCAATTGTAATTTACTCCTATATAGCCACCAAGCAAAATAAGTAAATATGAGGAAAATCCAATGAGGTGGGCCTGTGGAGAAATAGATCTATGAATTCAATGCTGGAAGCACTTCGTATTAGTCCAATTCTTCTGCAAAGTAACCTGGTAATTCATAGCTAAAATGTATATTCTTTAACTGTTATTCTCTTCTAGAAATTTATTCCAAGAAGGAAAATAAAAACTATTGTACAAATATATTTATTGTATGTTATTCATAATAAGAATAATTTAGAGCTACCCAAATGCCAAACAATGAGATTAACTGTGAAAATTATTGCATATTAATATACTTAGAAATATGTAGCTATTAAATGTTACCAATATGTAAACCATGTTTAATACATGGAAACATCTGACTATGAAAAGTATGCTACAACAAAAATGTGAAGGGCATATGGAAGAAAATAAAGAGCTTTCAGCTTATTAGTTATGTTCTTGTTTAATCAGTTAATTAAATTTAAAAGTTTTAAATAAAAATGTCAAAACATAAAAATAAAAAAAATTTGTTTTCTGAGGTAGTAATTTATACTATAAATGCACATTAGGTACATAGACTTGTTGGCTTTCATAAGAACCAACAATTAACTGTGTATAACCTTGTTTCTATAGAAAAATGCTTTCTGAATCTTTAAACTAAAAGTGGTTTCTTAGAACACAACCACTCATAAGTTGGAACAGCCTACTTTTGTTTTTTGGAAAGAAGTAATAACAATACTAGGGGTTCAGGTATGTTTCTGATGCACTAAGCAATACTGTACCAATGAAACAAACAACATTTTTATCCTCCCTTCACTAAAAAGTGTCTATATTCATGAAGAACCACATCCTTTTATACCTTCAATTTTCCTTTCCTTCTGTTCCTTCTTCTAAATTTCCCCATCCCCCAAATTCAGCTTCTTCCCCATACAAACATAAACAAATTAAATCACTAAAATTATTTAAAAATCTTAAATAATATCTGAAAAAGTGTCACTTATCAAATAGCATTGTCATTTGAGCTATGATTGTATTTTGCAAGAGTGTGTACTAAAGTGGGGCAGTTAAAAGACACCATTCCACAAAGGAAAAAATAGTAAAATGAATAATCATACCATCAAACTGGTCTTCACCTTCAGTCATCAGTTCATCATCAGAGCAAATACTTAGAACATTTACCAACATTTCTGTCACTGTTGCAAAAAAAAAAAAAAAAAAAAAGTTACACATTAGTTGCCTATATGCAACTGTCTATATGTATACACAGCAACTATTCACATAAATGGTCAAATGATTAGCCCAAGAAGACTAACACATTCTGATAGCAGGAATGATGGAATTAAAAGATATAAAGGCTTTCAAAATGAAAGAAATTTAAAAGATAACAAGTCCAAGAGAGATTCTTTATGGAATAAATTTTCATGTCTCTCAGGAAAAACAAAAGACCTACAGAGATGAAAACAGATGAAAAACATCTAAATATATATTTATTATTATTCTTAAATATATACATTTAAATTCTTCATTTACAGATATAGCATTAAGGAGTAAGAAAAAAAAAATCACAGCACCATTACACTGCTGCAAAAAAAAAAAAAAAAAAGTCCCAGGAATTATCCTTTTAAAAACTGGCTCCAGCAACTCTCCTGAAACTTAATTCTTAAGATTACTAATGACTACCTAACAACCTCAACCAACAATTTGTTCTTAGGCTTAATCTACCTTTACCATTTAATATATTTTTCCCTTGGTTTCTAGAATTCTACTCTTGCGGTTTTCCTACCTTTAGACTATTTTTTTCAAAAATTTGAATATTTTGAAGATTCTCTCTGCAGTCCTGTTCTTTTCATATGCTCAAATCTCTTGGTGATTCCATCTATTACTATATAGTTTAAAATATCACCTTTTTAAAGATGATTCCAAATTCCATGTCACCAATCTTAACCTCTCTTTCAGAGTCTGGATTGCCTTGCTGGTTTTATTGGCAGCCTCTTAAACTATTTGTATACTGTCTGTTTCCCTTACTAGAATGAAAGCTTCATGAATGCAGGGTATTATTTTGTTTGCCATTGTATCCCCAGAGCCAAGTACTGTGCCTGGCACATCACAGGCAACCAATAAATATCTGACAAATGAGTAAATAAAAAAGAAAGGTGTAATAAATTTCAATTAATAAATAAAAATGCCTATTCAATATTCTGAGAGCACCTAGAAATGGATAACTCTGGGATTCAGATATAAAAGGTCCAGTCCCACTCTGGCTGGTATGGTTCAATGGATTGAGTGCCTGCCTGTGAACCAAAGGGTCTCATGTTTGATTCCCAGTCAGGACACATGCTTGGGTTGCCGGCCAGGTGCCCAGTAGGGGGCATGTGAGAGGCAACTACACATTGATGTTTCTCTCCCTCCCTTCCCCTCTCTCTAAAATAAACAAATAAAACCTTAAAAAAATAAATAAATAAATAATAAAAATAAAAGGTCCAGTCTCTACTCCCCAAAAGCTTACTAACTAACTGAAGAATGTGTGTGTGTATACTACAAAAGAGTGATGGGCATTATGCTGTAAATATGTAGAGGTATGCCAAAGATCTCCTAGGGAAAGGAAGGCTTTTGGTAGAGAAATGATGAAGTAGGAATATGCCCAGGTGGAAAGGGTATTAAGGCATTCTAAAACAAATGTTAGGAAAAATATGAGGTAGTTATATAGGTCAATGGAATACAATTAAGAATCCAGAAATAAAACTTCACATTTAAGGTCAACTGATTTTTTTAAAATTTATTGATTTGAAAGAGAGAGAGACAGAAAGAAAAACACTGATTTGCTGTTCTACTTATTTATGCATTCATTCGTTGATTCTTGTATGTGCCTTGACAAGGGACTGAACCGGCAACCTTGGCATACTGGGACGACGCTCTAACCAACTGATCTACCCGGTCAGAGTAAAAGGCAGCATTTCTCCTTAGTTCACAGCATCAGGAAAAACCCTTAGGATTAGTTCAGAAGTCAATATTTGATTGGAAAGGCCTAAGCACTAGACCAGGGGAACAGGAAATCCTTGGTTTCTGGATGTAAACACACACTTAAAATTAGTTCCCCCAAGCCTAAAGTCCATTTTAGCATAACAAACTGCTCAAACACAACCAGCATCGACCACTTGAAGCTTAAGTACAAATATAATACTCAAGAAAGAAGAGAAATGGTCATGTGATGGTACAGAAGGAAATCAATTATAGGGAAACATCGAGAATTAATTTGAAGATAGAGAAGACCTAATTGATGAAGGAAGTTTCCTGAAAAAACAGAAGGGAAATAGAATCCAGGGACAAAAAGACAAGAACTCAAGATGAGTGCAGCTTATAAAGCAGGGAACAGTAAGTACAGAAAGCTCCCACTAATGTTTTGTGTTTTCTCTCAGTGTGAGGAAACTAGCTGGAAAAAAAAAAAAGATGAAAATTTAGACTACAGCCTAAAGGAAATTAGGAGAGGAAGCAAACCAGTGACATAAAGGATGTTTGAGTACTATCAAGAGCCCAGCTAATGCTTGAAATCAAAGGGTGGTACCAATTTATAAGGCTGTCTACATATATCTTCAGCAGTGCTATAGACAGTGGCTATAAGAATGGAGAAAATGGATAGCTAGACTTTACTGGGGCTGAGCTATAACAAACAAAACAGAAAAATAAGATAAGGAGTTTGAAGGTATGTTAGGAAAGAGGGGCAGCAAGGAGGTATCTGAGCAATAAAAAAATGACACGGTCAAAGGCCTAGTGATTCCAATGAAGCTTAAGAGCAGCTATAACCAGAATGAGGGGTTGGTAGAATAACAAGGGTGTTCAACAGAGGGTGCTAATGGCACTATAATTATCAAACTCAAAACATCCAAGTTATCTTTAACCATTCCCTCCCCTTAAATATGCAATCTTGTTAAGTCTCACTGGTTCTACTTACAGTTCTTGCAGTTCTCCCCTGCTCTCTATTCTAGATCCTACCAAAGCTTCATTATGTTTCTATTTGACCCTAGATGTAGCTTCATAACAGGTCTCCCAAACTTTAGTCCTCTTTCCTGTCCATTTTGCCCCAGTAATTTTTCTAAATACTATCATGGTCATATTCTGTTTCAGCTGCTCCTTACCATTTATGGAAGTTTTTTATACATCTTTTATGTACTTAAGTCCATATCTGTATTTTTTTATTCTAAATACCTTGAATAAAATACTTTCAAAAAAAAAATCTAGTAAATAGGAGAATCAAGATGGCGGAGGAGTGAGTGGAAGTCACACTGACCTCCTCCCAGGACCAACCTGGAATTACAACTAAATTGTGGAGAAATCACCTCGAACAAACAACTGAACAATAGCGAGAGAGGAGCCTTGTAACCTTGGAGACAGAAGAGTCTGCCTTAGCACAATCTGTTTGGCAAGTTTATCATGGTAATGTGAAATAAAGACCTCTTCAGACATACAGAAAGCTGAAAGAATACATCATCAGCAGACCTATACTACAAGAAACCTTCAAGGAAGTCTTTCAGGTAGAAGTAAAATGATACCAGATAGAAACCTGGATTTACACTAAGGAACTTAAAGTGCCAGAAATGATAACTATATGAGTAAATATGACTCTTTTTCCTATTATGTATATGTCTTTAAAAGATAATAATAAAAAATCTAGTAAATGAGTAAATCTTACATGTATGACCTTTTATGAAAGATCATACCATACTGGATCCCCTAGAATAGAGGTTCTGAAATTGGGGGGCAGGTAAACCTAAGGGGGGCAACCATTTGACTTCAGATCTATATGAGTCCTGAAAAGGTTACATTTATGTACAGATGTAAACATATTTGTTTTGTACATGAATTTTTCTGGGGTAAAAGTCCGTAACTTTCATCAAATTCTCAAAAGGGTTTTGTATTAAGAAATTGATGTTTTTGTGTAGTTATCTTAAATAAAAAGAGAGTCCCTACTATAAATTTCTTTTAATTTTCTAAAACACTGATAGATTAAAAAAAAACAAAAACCCAGCTGAGGCTTGATTAAAAATAGTTGAGGTGTGGGGTGGGGAGCAGTAGATGGAGATATAAATGACATAGTATTGGCCATGATTTGACAACTGTCAAAGGCGAGTAATTGGTATACGGGAGCTCATCTTTTTATTCACTCTGCCTTTGCGTATGTTGGAAATTCCAACCATTTTTTTAAATGAAATAAAAAGGCCCCCAAAAGTTTATAAACATGGCTTTTCTCTAACTTGAGGCTTAAACAGTCTCTCAGGAAATCTGTCTTATGTTAGTTGCTTCCCAGAAACCAGGTCAGCGTCAAACTGGCTTATTTAAAGTAGAACAAATGAGATATCATTTGCTGCTTTCCAAACCAAAAGAAAATTTTCAGTAGGACCAATAAAAAGGTGCCTTGGCTGGGTGGCTCCGTTGATTGGAGCATCATCCTGTACACCAAAAGGCTGTGGGTTTGATTCCTGGTGAGGGCATATGCCTGGAGGCGCATATGGGAGGCAGCATATCAATGTTTCTCTCTTGCATCGATGTTTCCTTCTCTCTCTAAAAAAGTAAAAATCAGTGAACATATCCTCAGGTGAGGATTAAAAAGAAAAATGTAATAAAAGTAGTTTAACTACCTAAACAAGTAATGTACTAAAATGGAAAATTGTGTGATGAGTTTGAGAAAATTTTCCTACTGTGCTCAACACTGGTAAGGATTCTATTTGTATATAATGTTGAAATCTGAGCTTCACGTTCTTGAAAAGATGTGAATAATTTAGAGAAGATCCATAGAAAAACAACCAAAATGCTCAAAAGGTTTGAATACTTCCTCATCTTAGATGATTTAGAGTGGCAAAAGAAGAACAAAAGATCACTCAGTAGTGGACTTCAAATGTAGGTATGCTGATAGAAATATGTTCTTCATTTTCACTTATGAGAGAAAAATCAAAAGTAGACTAAATTTTCTCATCTTTCAGAAGAAGTTAGATTACATGATTGTACACCGTGAACTCTAAAATTCTGTGATTTCTTCCCGGTTTTTTGATAGGTGAATTAGTTGAGAAAAAACTATTATCGTTATTTCTTTCCATGTTAAAACACTTATAGCATAAACATTTAAATTAGGTATAATTAAATATTTCCTTATTGTGGAAACAACTGAGACCTGATTAAAAATATCTGAGGCGTGGGGTGGGGAGCAGTAGATGGAGATACACTTATTAGCATCAGAGAATCAAATTAGAATTTATGAAATGTCCACTTTCTTCCTAACTTACCTTACCTGCTTTCTCTACCCCCTCCCCTTTCCACTCATAATACATTAAAATAGTTGAGTTGCACTCTAGCCTGGAGACAGGGAATAGACAAGATAAATTCTTAAATTACCTTTACCCTGATGATGCTATGACTGAACTATTTCTCATATACAAAGATAGAAGGTTATAAATGTAATGCATCCCTTGCACCTAAGCCCTTTACTGGCCCCCTTCTCGAATGCTAAAGTGGGTAATTCTATCTCCATATTAACGTAATGTTGACCTATTGAGTAACTGATGAAGACTGAGGGTAATCTAAAAAAAACCTGTTTAACATGTACTGCTTAAGTATTAACTCTAAATTTTAGAACCAAATATTGCCTTGGCAGAAGTAACACATCTCAAACAGAAAGAAACATTTTGTAACAATGAAAGAGGTGAGAAAAAATAGAGGATATAGAACAAAATGTTTCACATGGTGTCTATGCTCTCATACTCTTCCACATAAGGAAACTAAGGCATTACCTTGTGGAAAAATTAACACAAAATTGGAAATGTCATAAAGTAAGGAAATCTTAAGAATTCTATAGAACTAGAAAACACAAAACAAAATTTCTTAAATAGCATTTATGTTCTCTTTAAAAGCCTACTGAGTATATACTAATAAGTATCCCTCTAAAAGTATTAAAGAAGCATTAGCACCAAAATTGCATACATATTTTTTATAGCAGAAATATTAAGTTAGAACATGAATTCTTCTTCATCACTTTTTTTCATAATATAGGACTGCTATAAAATGACTAACACTGCCCAAAACAAGGCCTATAAAATTCTCCCATGAGCTGCTGACATCTCCAAAATTGGTGTTAAAATATACAAAAGTGTCCATTACAAAGCACAGCTATACCTTCATGAAAGATTTAAGCTAAAGAGAAAAAGAAAACCCAACAGCTGAAGAAAACATCGGGCTATTTATAAGTCTTCTCCCCGTCCCCCAGGCACATTCACATGGGGGCTGTAAACAGCTAACTAAAATATCTTCGAGGCTTTCAGATCCACACCCACTGACACAAGTAGAGCTGTACCCACGGTGAAACTAGACGTCAGCTTCCTTTAGCAAGTATGTGCCTGCGATAGTAAACTGGAGTAAATCTAACAGTAATAAAACAATTTTTTAATTAAAATTATACCTTTTTCTCCAACAAATGGTAAAGACCATGTGAAGACGTCCATAAAATTGGGCAACCAGTAAGGATGTGGAGAACAGTTAAATTGTCGAATATTCATCACATTATTTTCATACTTTAGTACAGCAGCTGCAAGATAAGTTTCAATGTCAATGAGACAATTTGTCTTTAGCCCCAAAAGTCTAAAACACATAAAAGCAGAAAAATATCTTTTTAACATGGTAGAGAATCAAGTGATGAGTAGAATGAGGGCTCGTTGAGGGAGGTAGGGACTAATTTTTAACTATGACACACTTTTTGTTTTTTACACACTTTATGTATAGCATAGTCAGATCTAGTTATTATTAAAACTTCCAGATTCTAAAATGTTTGTTTTACTTTAATCCAATGATAAATATATACTTCTACTAAATCCAAAATTGTGAAAACTCCATTTTTAGAGGAAACACAGAATGGCAATGAACAATTTTCTAGGTTTAAAAGTTCATATAAGTTAGAGAAATTTAAGAGGGTCTTTTTAGTTGCAGGCAACCTGAAAAGGATAGCTGAATGGTAATAAAGAAAAACAAAACAAACACACACAAAAAAACCCCCAATGTGAAACATTTATAAATGTATGAATATATTTATTTCATTTAATATGGGAAATCAAATGAAGCTACTATAAAGAAATATTTTACTTCATTTAGGGAAAAAATCCATTTAAATACAAAAAGAAAAAAAAAAAGAAAATACATAGTCAAATAAGCCAGAGATATCATACTCATCTCAATTCTAGGTATTTTTCTAATGTTTCAATATGTTGATATAAATAAATCTTAAATCAACTGACATAAGTTTCAGTCCCTGGTTATATTATTTTTAGGAACACTGGGTTAGATGGGCTAGATTCTACTCTAAGCTATGGTACACACTAGCTTTGAAATGCTTAGTATTTACCTAATCTGTTTCTCATTTATAAAAATGTCTAATATGTTTACCCTGCCTATCTCAGAAGTTTGTTTTAAGACCAGAGAATGTAATTCATATGGAAGTACATAAAAGTATAAAATGCTTTACAGATATTGTAATAATTATGTAGTTACTTTTTTTTCATTTTAATAAAAAGGACTGAAATGCAGATGTTGAATTCCAATATTTGAGATTCTGGCTAATGTAAAGTCATATGTAATATTGTTTGTTTCTCTTATGAAATTCCCATGAAATAAAAGCATTTTAAATTTAGCCTCAGAAATTAAAAGCCTGATACCAAGCTTTCAATTTACAAAGAGAATCTAGAAAATTGTCTGACATATAAGATGAAACATTATAAACATACCATATACCACATAAGCACTCAAATCATTAACACTGTGTACAGACTCAGATCTACCAAGAGACATTTGATTTTGACAAGACAGATTCAATGGTTTGAGTTTCTTTTCTGAATACTAAGAAAATTGATCCCTTAACCTCCTGAGTCAAACTGGCAAAGGGCAACCATAAGGCAGCAGTCAACTGAGCACTGAACACTAGCTTCGTTAACACTGACAAGAGGAAGTCACAATTGAGAAATGAGAACAGTGGTAGAAAGTTAAATGTAGCACTTGATTCTGTTCTTGAGAATGTAGTCAAAACTTAAGATACGTTTCTCCTCAAAAATGAAGGCACAGTTCATTAGTTTTTAAATTTATAAACCAAAATATAATTTTAAATATTTTAGCACTGGCATAATCGTTAAAGGCTGCATTGATCCTAGCTTCTAATGATTAGCAGCTCATTAATATCAATAGTTTGGCTGTTTTGGTAATTGACATGGTATTAAGTTCTTGCAGCATACTTTGTACCAAAGTTATTATATGGCATGGTACTGGCTTGACCTTTGGCAAATGTTTTAATCTTGTAACCACCACCTTCAATCATCCAAAGAACTCTTACTCTTCTCTTTTGAATTCACACCAAGACCCATATTTAACAATGATCTCATTATCTCCCTAAAGTCTGTTCTTTCTTCCTGGCACATCTACTCTAGTTTGATCCTTGAAATTATGATATAGTCAACCGAATTCCAGACACACCAAGGCAGAGTAGGAGCTGATTTCTTAACATCCTCTCCTAAAAATGTGAACTACATAAACATACCCAAGCTCACCTTCAATGACCTTGGCACACAACTCGATTAAAATCTTTTGATATCATCTGTCAATAAGCTATGTTCAAAGTTAAATGAAACCCAATTATTATTATACATAGATCAAATTTGGAGGGTAGGAAGGGGAATGGAAACCAATGGAACAGAAGGTAAAGAAAAAAAGATACAAGAAAAAAGGAAGGAAGAACAGTAAAAAGAAAAGAAAGGGAAAAATGTATCTCTGAGAGGAGGTCAGAACAAATTAATCAAAGAAGGCTCAACTACAAATCTTCATGGGGCAGTGATAAGACTGTGGAGGTAAAAGTAGGAAATAAGAAAGGGAAAGAGAACCTAGACCAGTGAACATAAAACAAGAAACATGATAAATTAAATAACTGTACAGTATAAACACATAAAATGGTCAAAGCAGCAGCAATAGCTTTATGTAAACAAAACATTCTCTGGCTTTTAAGAGGAAAGAGTTAAGAAAGGGGAGTTTGAGAAAATCATGTTTGGTTTTGCTTGGCTTTTTACAAGACAGGTTTTGTGAGTGACAAGTTATAGAATGGTTACATGTGACTTAAGTTTTACATTTTGGATTTTTATTTCTTGTTCTTTCCCCTCCCTTACATCTTAAGACTTTTTATAAGGAGATTTGGATAGGTATAGATTCAAACAATGCCCCTTTTCTATTATAATTTCAAAAAATAAGTCAATTAAAATGCTAAGTTGTTCAATAATTTTTTTATCAACAACATCTTACCTTTATTATTGTAGACATCTAAGTAATTAGGTGCCGAAAAAATTGTTATTAATGAAGGGAACCCTGTAGTTTGACTTTTTCTGTACATTCTATAGCTGCAAAACAAATAGCTTAATATGCATCGTAAAGCATCAATCATTGTTACTAAGTTTGATTTGTATATAAGGTGTTAATTTGGGTCAGGGAAACAGAATTCTTACCCTGCATCTTGAGCTTCATGAGCTCTAATAATCGATAACAAATTATTGTTTTGCAAAAATTCACACACTGCTGGGTAGCTGTGGGGGGAAAAGAGTAAATTAAGTAATGGTTTTCTATATGAAGCATATTCTATTTTAACAACTAAAATGTGATTAATCTTGGACATTTTTCCTTACTTATAAAAATAAGAACATCCTCGAACTGTATTGTGACTAAAATGTTCCTGTGATTTTTCATTTCCAAAATCTTCAGAAGGATCGGACCATAACAAGTCACACATTGGTCCAAATGCAGGTGGCTCTTTGAATCTATCTAACTGTGAAAGAAAGAAAAGAAACAAAGAACAGAAATAACTTGTCAAAAAGTGAGAATAGAATGGACATATGAAAGTGTTAACAACTCTGAATACTGTCCATACTACATTGTTTTGAATGATTAGAAGGTATTTCCTTAAAATATCAGTATATTAAATTTTACCTTGCAGTAAACTTAACCTTGCAGTAAAGAGTAGTTTGAAGTGTCTACTCTCTACCCAGTGAAGTGCTATATATAGGAATCAAAGTTGGAACTAAGATATGTACTTACTCTCCTAATATCATCGAGTGTGTGGATTTCTGGTGAAAGTCAGAACTTAACCTTGCAGTAAAGAGTAGTTTGAAGTGTCTACTCTCTACCCAGTGAAGTGCTATATATAGGAATCAAAGTTGGAACTAAGATATGTACTTACTCTCCTAATATCATCGAGTGTGTGGATTTCTGGTGAAAGTCCACCATGAACACAAAGAAATTGTTGGTTCAAAAGTGCAGCAAGAGGCAGGCTATCAAAAGCTTCCATACAAGCTTCATAGACTCTTTCTGAATATTTAATTTTACCTAGAAAAAGAAAAATTAAATTGAAAATTAAATTGCTATTTGATTATATTTGACTATTAAAACAATGGCAAGAAAACTACAGACACAAAAAATAGCCAGTGGTGGCCAGAAGTTGAGAGTGGGCGAGGGGTGACTATAAAAAGGCAGCAAAAGGAATTTAGGAAATGATAAAACCTTTCTGCATCACAACTGTGGTGATGGGCAGCTCTATGTATTTGTCCTATCTCAGAATTAAACATCATGAAGAGTGAATTTTACTGTAAACGATTTTTTAAAGAGGCAAGCGTCTTGCTCTAGAAAAATCTACAAAGAAAAGCAATGTTATTGGTCTTTTTTTTTAATCCTAACCCAAGAATATGTTTATTGATTTTAGAGCGAGAGGAAGAGAGGGAAGGAGGGAGAGAGGAAGCAAAGAGAAAGATGGGAAAGGGAAAGAGAAAGGAAGAGAAATATTGATTGGTTGCCTCCCATACACACCTTGACTAGGGATGGAACCCTCAACTAGGTATGTGCTCTGACTAAGGATGGAACCCACAACATTTTGGGTACGGGAAAATGCTCCAATCAACTGAGCCACCAGGCCAGGGCTGTTACTGTTCTTATGAAGACAAAATATTTGTTCTTTTAAATTTATTTTGGGTATGCAGCAGATGGTCATAAAAATATTACTAAAAATAAGTCAAATCTCTAAAAACAGCTCAACCTTTGCCCTGGTCAGTGTGGCTCAGTTGGTTGGAACATGTGGTATACCAAAAGATTGGGTGTTCAATTCCCAGTCAGAGAACATACCTGGGTTGCAGGTTTGATACCTGGCTGAGGTATGTATAGGATGCAGCTGACTGATGTTTCACTCTCTCTCTCTAAAATCAATAAACATTTTAAAAGATTTAAAAACAGCTCAATTCTTCACCTTTTGGGACAAGTAAGGCAAAATTAAAACTATACTTAAAGCTAAAATATTTTTTAATACTTTATTTTATTCTAAGAGTCAGTGACTACTTTATTGTTACTGGCAAGATTACTTCTACATCATCATAATAAAACTCAAGGTCCATCCAATTAAAAAAAATGTATTACTCATACGCTGGAGAAGCAGAGGGGTTCCTCTAGTCTACAATGCATGCTTAAAATGGGCAGTGATGCCAGAAGCCAAAATAACACAAGACAAAACTCCACCAAATCAAACTTCTCATTTACTTCTAAGGAGACACCATTACACATTCCTTTACTCCTGTATACCTTTAAATTCCTGGATATTTTGGTTTTGATTGGATTTTGGTGGGTGGTTTGTTAATTATCTAACGGGGGGTGGGGGAAGCTTGGTTCCTATTTTCCTCTTTAATATTGTAACATTCAAATATGAGTACATCTATATCCAGCAACCAGGGGTTCTAAACTGATAGTCTGCTAACAGACTTGTTTTCCAGCACTGTGGTTTAATAAAAAATTTAATTTGATTGCTTTTAGGTCAAGCATGTACCTTCCAGATTCATCTTACATTCATTTAGGTTACCTGCCTGATTCTTGAAGTTCTATGAGTTTGCCACATCTGCCATTAGCCATCACTATATTTTTCTACTTTTACTGAAAGTCTCTACTAATATCCTTATTGGATCATGTTTTGAGTCTCAATAATTCTGAAATTACCTATTTTTAAAACTTAACTCTAAGACTTAATTATTAACTTAATAAGCACAAAGCTATAAGGTGTGAAAAACTGCCAAACACTGCTCTATATCCTGTGGTTGCTTACAGTTGTTTGATTATCATTACTATAATAATTTAAGAGAGAAATGGGTATACCTTATTGCTAAGAATTTCAATTCATTAATAGCATGTTTTAAACAATGTGCAATGATGACAGAATGAATAATTTTGTTAAGAACCTTTACCCTGGCCAGGCGGCTCAGTTGGCTGGAGCATCATCTGTGCACCAAAAGGTTGTGGGTGTGATCCCTGGTCAGGGCATGTACGGGCGGCAGCAGATTAATGTTTCTCTCTCACATCAATATTTCTCCCCTTCCCCCCGCCCAAGAATCAATAAACATATCCTTGGGGGAAGATTAAAAAAAGACTTTCATGAGAATGCCTCAATATTGGGGTACAAAAATCTCCAATGAGACAACAATGGGTTTTTTTTGGCTTTTATCCTTCCATTACTTGCTAATGGAAGATAAGGGAGAGTTCTTGACAATCTCCCTCAATTCTTTACATTGTATATACATAAAACTGTTCCTACATGTTATACTGTAAAATCTTCAAACTCTTACTACCTATGTCACTCCAAAAGAATACCGAGGAAGTGAAACTATTTCTGATGGCAGTACTCACATTCCTGTTTAAAGGTAAAATATTCCGTAAGGTGTCTGCATTCATGATTGCCTCTCAGAAGAAATAATGTGCTTGGGTATAGAATCTTCAGGACCCATAAATATAAGACACACTGCAAAAGAAAACGCTTCCAGTGAATTTATCTTATAGTTTTGTTTAACTTAGTTGCTTAATCTTTGTTCCTTTTCCTCTAACCCTATTACTTTATAATCTCTATTATTCATTAGTATTTTTTGCTTTGTCCCGAACTAAAATATAAGCTCATGAAACCATGGACTTTGTCATCTTATTCACTTCTTATTCTCCACTAGAAAAGTATCTAGCAAACAGTAAAAGAGCAATATATATTTGTTGAATGAGTAAGTCAAATGATCTATTTACCTACTTTAGATTTACAGACTGCTTGCTGTAAACACAATGAGCAGATTGGTGTCCTCCTTAGGTAGATCAATAAATAATACTGTAAGAAATTATAGCAACTAACATTTATTAAATAATTACAATGTTCAAGCACTACAAAATTAATCCCCGTCATTTATTCCTCCAGCCCTATGAAGTATATAATATTATCTCTCTTTTACAAATGAGGAAAAGAAAGCAAAGAGTTTAAGTAAATTGACCAAAATCATAAAATTTGTAAGTAATGGAGATAGGATTCTGATCCTCTGATCTTAAGCATTAGTCCATGCTGCTTATTGAAGGAAATAGCAATGTTTTATGTTTATTTTGTAATAAACAAAGAGATGCTTTTCTCTAAATAGATTTAACATAAGAAACAGATTCACATTTTACTTAATAGGTTAAAAAAAGGACTATTTCATATGGAAATGAAGTTGGTTATAATCATATATAAGAAGAAAATACAAACTTTATATTTAACAAGGTACACTAAAATGTGTAACTATTCACACCTACATTTTATTCACAAGGGAAAAAAGTAATTAAACCAGAAAAATACTTATTGAAAATACTTATTAAAGGACTACCTGTCCTTTTTGCTTATTTTGATTCTTTGCTATTTTCCTTTTATACCAGTAAAACTTATGAAAGACTCAGCTACAAAACGCTCTGATGTAAGGACATACACACCAACATGTTAAGTTACCAACTAAGCTTTCTAATATTGTTTATTGTTTTTGTCAAAGTCCCCAGTCTTTTTGTTGCGAACTATTTTCTGGTTTTTTGTTTTGCTTTCTTTCTTTCTTTTTTTTTTTTTAAAGCCTTGAGGGAAGGTTGAGGGGCCTGATGATGAGATATGAATGGAAGGAAGCACTCAGGATAATAAAATTCCTAAGCAAATTTCCATGTACAGAGCACTGAACTCCCTTCCCCACTGGATGTTCCAGCATACTTCAAAAAGAATGTTGACAAAAGCACTGAAGAAGGGGATATAAACAATAGTAACCAGCATGGAAATTCACCAAGTAAATCTTCAATATTTACCAGGAGAGTTGGGTTAAGAGCACAGGCTTGGAGTCAGACTGCCTGGCTGCACCAACTATTAACAATGTGACCTTGGGCAAGTTTACTTAACCTTTCCACACTGCAAATTCCTCATCTCTAAAATGGATAAAATAACAGTACTTACCTCATAATGTTGTTGTGAGGATAAAATTAACCAATGTGTGTTAAGTGCTTAGAATATGCATGGAACATATTAAATGCTCAACACAAATATCGATTGGTAGAGCTTTTACCAGCAATTTTACCTCTAGGAATCTGTCCTACAGAAATAATTGGGCAAGTATGCAAAAATGCATAAATAACATAGCTTAATGAAGCATCATTTGAAATGCCAAAAAACTGCAAACATCTTACATGTCTAACCATAGGCATTGATTAAATCAGTTGTGGTTTGTTCATTCAGTGAAATACAATGCAGCTATTGAAAATATTTAAAAATGCTGTAAATTTATATTCACCAACCTGGAATACATCTCAGTATAAGGATGTAAGAAAAAAGCTAGTTACAGAAAACTATTATAAAATGGTCTCATTTTCATTTAAGAAAAATAGAGTATATAAATATCAAATTATGTTATTTGCCTGAAATATACACAATCTTGTATACCAATTTTTTAAAATTTTAAAAAATATTAGAAAATACAAATTGTTCTATATTTACCTGATTTTATTTATATAATTAGAAAAGTATAAGGAGAAAAATAACCATCTACCAGTAAGTGAAAATCAACAGGTCATTTTAATGCCTCTTAAGTTTTTAAAAACAAATGATAATTTCAGAATACACAAAGATCCCATATGATATACTAAAGTCTTAATAGCTACTGAAGGAGGGATAGAAGCACTAGGGTTTAAACAAAAAAAGTATTATAATTTGCTTTATTTAATCAGAGAAAATTCAATTAATCCTTTTTCCACACAGGTTAATACCTTTAGGGGTAAGAGAGATAAATAGCACTAACTCCTTAGGGCCACTAGATAATAGGGCAACATAGACGCCTCAGTTTACTTATAATTTCCACTGGAAAAAATGGCAATTATATAAACAAAGTAATATAGGGAAAATTAATGGAATAGTTTGAATAACAGAAAAGGAATAAATAGTAACTTTTCCAGAAAACTTAAGAAAATGCAGAGGTATTAAAAAGAACCCAGTACAGGTACTTTAAGGAATTATTTCACTAGGAATTAATGGAAATCATCTATGATAACAAAAGAAAATCAAATGACAGTATATGATTATTACCTCTATACTAAAATAACCTCTGTCCACATAATCACCAAGAAAAAGGTATCGTGTATTAGCAGGTGATCCTCCTACTTCAAAAAGTTTCATCAGATCAAAAAATTGGCCATGGATGTCACCACACACTGAAACAAGAAGATTATTAGATATGAAAGAAAAACTCTGAAATAACAAATTTTACTTAAATTCTAATTTCTTTTACATAAGAGATAGTGTAAATTCTATCAAGAAATGTCTCAGAAGGAAGTCGTCTATGAAAAGTCATGATAGGGATGATGTGTACCCAAGTATTCATATGCTCAAGATCTAGAACATGTAACAAGTAACGAAACTTGTAGACAGTAACAAAATTTTCATCTAAATTTATTAAGTTCCTCTTTAAGAAAACCAGGCATGTGTGTCTTAGGATGACAAAATTATAATGGTGGCAGTAAAAACTCCAATTTAACTCAATACTTTCTACTGACTTCCAAATAATTTTCTTGGGTCTCTGACATGACATTTAGATATTTGCCCCTAATGACTGAAAGCAAAATAATTAAGTACTTGTTAAATCGAACTGAATTATGGCCAACATAAGTAATGAAACCTTCAGAATAGCATATGAGACTAACTTCTGCACTCAGATTATTTAGGATCATGTTTATTCACTGAAAACAGGAAAAACTTTAAAAAATTAACAAAAGTAATTTAAAAATTCAAGATGATATCCATGTAACATTAATTGGGTATCTGTTATGATTAAAGAGGAAACAGCTTTATATCTAGGCAACTAAACAATAATGCAATAAAAAATAATATCCAAAACATAAATAAATGTACCTGTTATTGGAGCCTCTACTTCTATCATGGTTTTCTCTCTCCGAAGGATGGCAGCACCCTCATTGATAATTCTAAGTGCAATCTCTTCATCTACCCGACCTTCTTTCACTAAGTGGTTCTTCAGAACATCAACTCTAGGTATCCCATCCATATCAAATACTTCTTCAGATGTCAAGCGGTGTGTTGGGGGGAAAGGGACAGCTGCAATTTTTTTAATTAAGAAAAAATAAATCACTATATATTATAATATACTAACATAAAACTAATCAGTGGATCTAAGTAAATAAGAGTACAAAATAAAAAGTTGGTTTTTGTTTCACCTTCATTTACTGGATAGACATGTTAACTTTCCCAAAGACTTAAAAAAAAAAAGATCAAATTATACTTATTTTTATTAACCTGTATGTAACATTTTCTTTGCTGAGAATTATTAGAGAAACGAATTGTCTTACAAAATTAAAGTTCATCCAAGATAACTAAAGCTTTTTTATTTAAGCCAAAACATTTTTTGGCAGAACTCTCAACATGGCATACACTCTTCACCTTACAATAAATAAAACAATACCACATAAACCTGAATAGAAAGATATCCCAAATATAAGGCAATCAACCATGTTCTTAATAAGAATATCAAAAATAATGTTTTCTGAACAACTTGAATAGAAACCTTTAGGGATATCAGATATAACAGCCTAATGCTTTAACATTAATAAATCATGATAATTTTGAAATACTGCTTTCTCTCCTACCTTCATGTTTTACAAAACACTCGTTCGGCATACTTATGCACATCTTCAACATCAGTATATTCTTTATCATTGGAGTCACTTTTTGAGTCATCTAACACTTTTTAAAAGCAAATTATCTTCACTTCAAGTTGTTTGAGAAAAAGCACTTTTTGAATATATGTAAAATGTTATCATTGCAAATTTATCCTAAGCTACAGTTCCCATACGTCTAACTACTGAAATTGGCCTTTTTACTCCTGTAATGTACATGTATAGTTTCCACAAGTAATCACCAATTATACTGTTTTAAACTGATATTTGTTTATTGTAAAGGAAAACAAAAAGGTCTACTTTTACTTTCCTTTTTTGAAAAAAAATTTTATTTATTTTTAGAGAGAGGGGAAGGGCGGGAGAAAGAGGGCAAGAAACATTAATTGGCTGCCTATCGTACGCCCCCAACTGGGGACCTGGCCTGCAACCCAGGCATGTGCCCAGATCAGGAATAGAACCGACGACCTTTTGGTTTGTGGGATGCTGCCCAACCACTGAGCCACACTAGTCAGGGCCAAAGGTCTATTTTCAATGGTACCTAGCACAATTTAAGGTCATATACATGGCAAAAATTACTATATCTCTGTTAAATTTATTTGATTCCTTTTTTACTGAATCCAGCAAGTGACCTCTTTCCGCATTTAAAATCACTAAAGTTATTTTAGGCTCTTTACCAAACAGTACTTTGTTTTTTAAAATAAAGAGGGAAAGAGAAATTTAGAGTAAGAGTCTACATAGAGACAAATCTAAGGCAGCTCCTTTTTTCCTGAAACAGAAGTTTTTTTTTAAGGGAAAAAACTCATTTTATATCCAGGCATACAGTACAGTATATAGTATTTTCTTGATGTTTCTGGGTCATTGTAATTGGCAATTATTATATGAAGACTGGAAATGTATACAAACAATTGTTTCTTCACATTTCATAATTTAAAATAACTAAAAACAGGGGGGCTGGGTTAGAATTATATCAGTTACCTAAGGAAGAATAAATAGCCACATTCTCATACAAGGGAAAAAAATTAGAACTCAATCCTTTAAAAGTGCATATGAGGAGAGATCCAAGATGGCGGAGAAGTAAGTTGAAGCTACACTAACCTTCTCCCGTGACCAAACTGAAATTAAAACTCAATTGTAGAGAAATCATCCTAAATAACCAAGTGAACACTAGCTGCAGAGAAGCCTTGTAACTACAGACAGATGGAAAAAACCACGTCACCACAACACAACTGGTAGGGAGTGCGGAGGAGGCATGAGAGGATTGGCTGGGCCCAATGGGCAGCAGCTGAATTTCTGGAGGGATATTTCAGTGGCCGGGGGGTTCCCCCTGAGAAGTGTGAGCTCTAAATCCCAAGCCAGGCACCCCAGTCTACAGCACCAGAGCCAGAGAACTCAGAGAGCATGCAGCTGTGAAAAGCAGCAGGCTTTCTGTTTGCCAGGGAGAGACGGCTGAAGACTCAGCTTCTTAAAAGGCCAATGCTCAAGATTTTGTTTGCAGCCACTTACTCTGGGCTGAGGCAGAGGGAGGGCAGAGTGCACTAGAGACGCCTGAGGAGAGTCTGGGGTTGGTGGAGCTGGGGAGAGAATGAAGGAACAGCCACCAGATTCCCTGTGCTGAGTCATTCCCCACACTGCAGAAGCCATCCTTCTCGGGCACAACACTCCCCTCCAAGTAGCATCAGCCTGGGGGGAAGCAACAGGCCCACTCTGTGCAGCTTAAGCCAAGTGGCTGATTACAGCTTGAGACTGTAACACTGATTAATATAACAACTAAATCAGAATTCTGGGAGCTCTATGAGACTTCAGCTGATTCTCACCAGTATCCTGTGCTAATAAAAGCCAGCCTTGGTGCACAGCCTGTTCCTTCTGCATACAAACAGGCCCAGCAGAGGGAGCCACACACTGCAGAGTGCTGACAGCTCCAAACAGGCGGACCAGGGCTGGTCACAAGCAGCCTCTAACAAAGGCCTACACCAAGAGTCTTTGCAGACCTACCCAATACATAGAAACAAATACAAAGAAGCAGCCAAAATGGGAAGACAAAGAAACAGACCCCAAATGAAAGAACAAGAGAATTCTCCAGAAGAAGAGCTAGATGAAATGGAGGCAAGCAGTTTATCAGAGAGTTTAGAGTAATGATTACAAGGATACTCAACAGCATGAAAAAAGACATAGAAACCATTAAAATGGACCAGTCAGAAATAAAAGAATGCAAGATTTGAAATAAATAATACACTGGAAGGAATAAATAGTAGGTTAGATGAAGCAGAGGATTGCATCAGTGATTTGGAAGACAAGGTAGAGAAAAATATCCAGGCAGAGGAGCAAAAGAAAAACGAACTTAAAAAATGAGGAGACCTTAAGAAACATTTTGGACATGTGAAGCATAACATCCACATCATGGGAATACCAGAAGGAGGTGAGAGTAAGCAAGGGATCGAGAACCTATTTGACAAAATGACTGAAAACTTCCCTAATCTGGTGAAGGAAAAGGAGATACAAGTCCAGGACACTCTAAGGGTCCCAAAGAATTTAGGCTCAAGGAGGCCTACACCGAGACACATCATAATTAAAATGACATAAGGCTTAAATACAAGGAGAAAATACTAAAAGCCCCAAGAGAAATGCAGGTACCTATGAGGAATCAACAATTAGGCCATCATCTGATTTCTCAGAGAAGAAACATTTCAGGCCAGAAGGGATTGACATGAACTATTCAAGGGTCTACAACCAAGACTACTTTACCAAGTGAGGTTATCATTTAAAATTGAAGGAGAAATAAGGAGCTTCACAGACAAGAAAAAGCTAAAGGAGTTTGTTAACTGCAAACCAGTACTGCAACAAAAGTTAAAGGACTGGCTTTAAGAAGAAGAATCTAAACAGAGAAAATAATCTAACAATAAAATGGCACTAAATATGTATCTATCAATAATCACCTTATTAAATGTAAATGACTAAAATGTTCCAATCAAAAGACACACAGTAGCTGAATGGATAAGAAAATAAGACCCATATATATGCTGCCTCCAAGAGACCCATCTCAGATTGAAAGATACACACAGAGTAAAAGAAAAGGGGTAGGAAAAGATATTTCTTGCAAATGGAAAAAGAAAAAAAAGCTGGGGTAGCAGTACTTATACCCGACAAAATAGACTTTAAAACCAAAGCTATAGTAAGAGACAAAGGACACTACATAATGATAAAGGGAATAATCCAACAAGGGCATTTAACCCTAGTACATATTTATACACCAAACAAAGAGGCACCTAAATTTGTGAAGCAAATCTTGATGGGCATAAAGGGAGAGTTCGACTGAAATACAGTAACAGTTGGGAATTTTAACATCCCGTTGACTTCAATGGCTAGATCTTCCAGACAGAAAATCAACAAGAGGACAGGGGCCTTAATCCACATACTATATCAAATGGATTTAATTGATAACTTCACAGCATTTCAACCCAAAGCAGCAGAATATACACACTTTTCAAGAGCACATGGAACGTTTCCTAGGATAGAGCACATGTTAGGACACAAAACAAGTCTCAAATTTAAGAAGTTTGAAATCATATCAAACGTCTCTGAACACAATGCAATGAAACTAGCAATCAATCACAAGAACACTGAAAAACACACAAAGACAGGGAAGCTAAAAAGCATGTTGTTAAACAATGAATGGGTCAACAACAAGATCAAGGAAGAAATCAAAAGATTATCTTGAAACAAATGAAAATGAGAACACAACAATCCAAAATCAGTGGGACAGAGGGAAAGCAATCCTAATAGGGAAATTCAAAGCATTAAAGGCCCAACACACACAAAAAACAAACAAACAAGAAAAAGCTCAAATAAATAATCTAACTTTACACTTAAAGGAACTTGAACAAAAACAACAAACAGAGCCCGAGGTGAGTAGAAGTAAGGAAATACTGAAGATCAGCACAGAAATAAACAAAGAATATAATAAAAATGGTACAAAAGATCAATGAATCCAAGAGCTGGTTCTTTGAAAAGACAAACTAGACTGGCAAACCCTTAACCAGACTCATCAAGAAAAAAAAAGAGGACCCAAATAAATAAAATCAGAAATGAAAGAGTAGAAATAACTGACACCAAAGAAATATTAAGGATTGTAAGAAAATATTATGAATATATGTTTGCCAACAAACTGTACAACCTGGACAAAATGGGTAAATTCCTAAAAACATACAATTTTACAAAAATAAATCAGGGAGAATCACAGAATCTGAGTAGACAGATTACACTTAATGAAATTGAAACAGTAATCAAAAAACTCCCAACAAACAAAAGCCCTGGACCAGATGGTATCACAGGTGAATTTTGCCAAACATTCCAAGAACTAACACCTCTCCTTCTCAAACTACTTCATAAAATTCAAGAGGAGGAAAGGCTCCCAAACTCGTTTTA